AAAAATCCGCACATATGATTTTTTATATGTGTGCTCAACTATGTTTGTGTTTATTATAATTTGTAACACCCCAACCAAATATGCTCTGGTTTGGCTAACTTTTGAGGGCATAGCTTACCTTGTTGGATCTAGGAAAGAACACTGTCAGGACATAGCCAACAAATCTGTCTGACCTAGTCTAACAAGGTGTAGCCTCATCCTAACTCAAGTATCCGCTAAATGATAGGATGGTCTGAAAAAGCAAAAGTATAGAGTATTTTCTACTCATATGAATCATATGATGACTGATCCTCACCTTTGCTGGGATAAATTATATATAAATTATACCTAGAAAAGGGTAGCCTGGCATGATTATGTCCCATCCTATCTAATAAATCAACCTCATTTCATTTTTAAAAATAAGCAAGTGAGTACTCCCAAGATAATCATTCATTTCAACTGGGTATAATTGGTGAAAAAAAAGGACACATATATTGAATCAATATCTCATCTTCTTATCTAAAATTGATACAATTTCTCTGATCTCTTCTAAAGTCCTGGAATCTTTTTTTTTCATATGATTTTAGAGAAGCATTATAGATTTTCCTTTTCAGAACTTTATTGTAAAGCCCAATCTTCAAAATGATTTAATGATCATTCTTCAAAAGAAAAGGTGTAAAAATACCTGGAATATAGCCACTTTGATCTCTGTATATCTTGGATAAAAGGAATTAATCTTTCCTGTGAAAACTTGCCTGCAAAGAAAGGACCTAATAAGTCATTCAACCAACCAACAATGTGTATGTTGTGCATGAAATTGGAATCTGCTTCAATTTAAAATTCATATACAGTGTAACTATACATGAAGTCGAAATTAAAACCCCAAAGTCGAAATGTTTCGACTTGAGGAAACTACATAGTAAAAATCAGTTTTGACCTTATTTTGACCCTATTTCGACCAGATCTGCAAATGGTCAAAATAGTTTTGACTTCATGTATAAGTGTAACAAAAAAAACTGGAAATCTTTTATTTATTTTGTTCTCAATAATGGTTGAATGAAAATAGATAAAAATATATTGAAAAGAAAGCTGGAAATCAGAAGTTTTTATTAATATAAATTTTATATGAAACTTATTTTAATTGCTTTTAATATTAGGCAATGAAGTTAATTTTATTCCATTTAAAAATTCAATTATAAAAATCAGCAAATTCATTTCTCACTAATTTGCCAAAAAAATTCATTGGAGTTTTTTAGCATTCATACAGCATAGATAAAAATCCTATCATTGACTGTTATGGTATTACAAAAATCAAGTGAGATTGACCAATGAAAATTGAAATTAAAAATCACATGTGCTTCCAAAAAAATTAATTAACATTTACTCGAGAAAAATGTATAATAGTTCAATTTTATTTATTATTCAATATTCTCTCTTCTTATTTTAAACTGGGGACTGGTAAAAAGAATTCTCATACAAAAACCATTTTCTGCAAAAAAAATTAAATAATCTTTTGTCTATTAATTGTTAATCAGTAAAAAAACTAAAATAACATAAAATAATATAGAGAATAGTTAAAACTTTGGTTATTCTATAACTCAATGGAAATATAATGTCATAATATGCTGAATTGGCAAGTGTTTATTTCACATGAAATTTTTGGATTCCGTTCAAAGAAAATTAAAATGTAGGTCATTGATAAATTTGGATGTTATGAATGTAATAAAGCGAAATTTAGAGCAAACGGCATTACTAATAAAAGTCAAAACTCAGCGTGGAACAGGAAAAGTTATTAATGGATCAGAAATAAACAATAGTAATATAACATTTGTGCAAAGTTTGAGGTGGCGTTATTCAATATGGGGCGCGCCACTTTTCTAAGTGACATTTTTTCGATTTTACAATACTCTTCACATATAAATTGTCGATCGTCTCTATTAAATGTGTGTGACCAATCTATCCAATGATATGATTTTTATCTATGCTCATGTGTCTTGCTTAACAAACTCACCAAAAATTTTAGTGTTTCAATATATGAACATTGTTGAATAATCATCACATAACTAATAGCGCATTTTTAAATTGAAGTCTTCATGAATAAATTTTGAGCTTAAAATAATTGACTTTCAAAAATCCGATTTAAATCAAATCAGCATCTCAATCTTTGTGATAAGTTCAGAAATGATCTCTATATAGAATGTAGTGGCAATTGGCTGCTAGAAAAAACAAAAAAATCATTTTTCTAAATTGCACCAAAAAAATTCCGGTTTTTTTGTTACACACTGTATATACCACTATTAATTAATTTCTATTATCTTCCTCTAAGACCAGGCTTGGCTGTTGCCATATGGCATTGAGTATTGATAGCCGGTGCTTGTGTGATGATTGCTTTGTGTTATATATACCCTCTAGAATAAAGTCGGTGTCTGCAACTGATTCAAAATTCTCCAACTTGGAAGGTTGCAACCTGGATTGTTGTTTTAAATTTTCCCTGAGTTGTTGTCTTGCTAATGGCACACCTACTCACCAACAACCTACCCCATTTAAATAACAAATTCAGCTGGTCAAATAAAGATTAAAGAAAGAGAGAATTTATGAAAATGATTAACTTACATATAACATACCGAGTCATTTCATTTTACAGCCTTCACCTTAATTCCTGGCTATCACAATAGGAGTGGGCAGAGTCAAATTGCCTCCCTGTATTTGTAACGCACATGCTTTCATTAAGCTACGCTCCTTTAACCTAGGGTGGGTTATATGGGCAAAAGCCCCCATTTAAAAAATAACATATTCAGCTTGTCAAATAAAAATTAAAGAAGCAGAAAATGATTAATTTATATATAACATACCAAACAAAATCTGAACCATTTTATTTTAGAGACTTCCTCCTAATATCAGAGCCCAAATGCAATTTCAGGTTCACCAATCTCACTCTGAATTGCAACTTCCTGTTGAAATGAGTTGCAGATTCTTGTTGCTTTGATGGATCTGGATGTTTATGTATATCTAACATTACTACTCTTCAAAATGTTGTAAAGTTGCAGCTTGGTCACAGAGAGCCATCTTTACCCTAGAGGTAGGATCATTGTAGACAAATTTCATCTAACGTGCCAGCAAGCCTTCTCTGGTCTGGGTGCTGTGAAGGAAGATTACTAAAAAGTGCGCTTGACAATTGGTGCAGTCTCGGTAAATTCAAGGGCATGTTCACCCCCGGTGTTTATCCAATGATGGAGATAACAACCGAAAATGAAGCAACCTGATAAAAGGATGACATACTTGAGGCTAAAAATTGAGGATTGTTTTTGCGACATAGGTTTATTTGTTTTCGTGGGAAGTTTGGACTAAGCCATAGACATATAAGCCTAAATAACTGACCAATATCCCTCCCTTTGCTTGCGAAAAGAAAAATTTATTAAATATGATCAGGATACGGATATTATTCCGTGCCTGTAGATCCAAATCCACCACACGTAATGTTAAGTGTAGGGTCAACAACACTCACTAAGCAACTCCGCCATCTCAGTCACCAACTCAAAATAAATCCATCACCAACTCAACCACCATCATCAAGAACACAAGTCACAATACACCTTGAACATATCGGATAATGATGACGGGATGTTGTCAATTCCAGCCCTGCCTATCATCAATATCAGGTTGTTTTGTTTTTTTAGTAATAATATTTAAAACTCTACAATTTGCAATTGGAAGTGCGCGCGCACACAAAGAAAAGGAACCAAGTAAATAGAAACTTGAACACCAAAATTTTCTGCAATACTTGGTCGATGCAATTTATTTACTAATCCTTTGTAAAAAGTAATAATAATAATACGTATCATCATAAATATTGTAACGCACATGTAACTTATGGAGTCAGATGCATTCACATTCAAGGGAAGGATTATTTAACTAAGGGAAAATACATAATGATTTTAATATAAATATTAGATATTAAAAAATTACAAGATAAAACTATCAGAGCAATCACATGGGTAGCCATTGTTGGGTATTACCTATTCTTTGGTCACTCTTTATGTAAATCTATTTTATAATATTATTACTCTTGCTAATATTAGTATCTTCTTCATCTTCTATATCATCCTCCCTCTCAATTTTTTTCTTCTTTTCTTTATCAATTCTCTATGGTTTCCTTCTAGGATTCATTTTTTTGTTGATAGAAGATTTTTGCATTAAAGGCAGCAATTCCACCACATAGTCTATTTCACCAAATGAAAAAAAAAAGGATCAGTTCAGTCATTTCATCAAGAATCCTCCCACAACTTTTAAATTTCCATTAGATTGATTACCAGTTGGTTTACTGCTTGATTTGCGTTTTTCTGGGTTCTACTAGATTAACTATTCTATAGGTTTGATAATATACTAAAAAGCCAAAGAATAGTCCGATCAACAATCCATAAAAAAAATTTTACTTGTGGAAGGCAAAGATTTGGTTTGTTTTATAACGCTGAGTTTTGTTTTAGAACTGTAAAATAGCAATAAGAATTATGGCTATGATTTTTTTAATATTGTTAGTAAAGAATTTTTATTTCAACTTTAAATTTAAATAAAATTTTCTTTCCTATTATATTTCTTTGCAATTATTTTTGGGATTGATGTTAAAAAAAAAAGTTCTTAAAGTGTTAAACGCGATGGAATTTCCTCGAGACGTAACATGAGTCTTGGATTTTTAAAAAATAAAAATGGGCCTGTAATTTCCTGTGACATAAACGTTCACTTTGTCTGGTTTTGTTGGAGTATGCCCCATATAATCAATTTATATTTGTATCTTTATTTATTTGCCATCCTTATTGAAGATAATTAAATAATAATTTCAGAAAAATTAAGATAAAATTCCCGAGCTTAAAATCCAAAAATCCAAAAATCAGTATTCCTTTATAGATATACATATAAAAAATATTATAAATCTAAACTTGAAATTCCTTTAATTATTTGGTTGTTCTAAATTATATTTTTTATGATTATATATTAATTAAAAAATAAATGTAACGTTGAATTGATTTTTTTCAAAAAACCATTTTTGAAAATCATTAATACCTTCTAAAACAGTTTCAACGTCGTTTGCATCAATTATATTACGACCAGTTTGATTCGAAAGAGTTTCAATGTGTTCTTTGATCTGATCGAATGAAAGAGAAAAATAATCATTTTCACTATCAGATTTTTTTAATAAATAGGATGTTGGAAATGTATAATTTTCCAATGTCTATTTATGATGATATTATACAATATGTAATACTAATGATGCCAAAAGATATATTTACTTTAGGTTCGTCTTTACTAATCCATGTAATAATTTGATCGATTGATTGTAGCGTAAATAATCCTCCTTCTAATCTTTTTAAATAAAATTCTTCCTCGTCAATCTCATCACTTTCATCATCATCTGCTAATTTCTAGGATGCAGTATATATATATATATATGTAGTAACAGTTAAGAATTACCAATTATTAGAGTCCAAATAATGACAATAAGGATCAACATTCATCTTACATTTTTTTCTTCCTCTATTTGCTCATCAACAACTTTCACCTTTGATTCATAACTTTTTTTTAATTCCAACAACTTTTCAACCTTCTCATAATCATTCTCTATAAACTTATTAACCAATCTTAATCTATGTTCGCTATTCTCTGGTAGATTTTTAAATAATGAAACAATAATTCCAATAATATGTTCTGTACATATACATGGGAATTTTATTAAAATAAAGCTTATTTATATTTTGTTTAAAAAAAAAGTCAATGTGTAATAATTATTGTTATCAATACCTTCTTCCTCGATTTCTGAAAATCCTTTATAGCTTTTTTTAAGTTTTTTATTTCCCTAACAAAATAACACAATATGTGTATTTATGAAATTTTTAAAATCTTTTGAATTTTATTACAACATAATATATGCCACAGGTATAAATCATAAAAATATATTAATACCTTGCCCATAAACGAAGCAAATAATGTTTTTAAGCCAAATATTTCAACAAATTTTTCACAGTTGGCCAGACCTTCAGGTGTTGATAATGCATGATCCAAAACTTTTACAGCACGAGTACGAGACATCATTTTTTCTCTAAACAACAAATATATATATATAAACTTATTTAAAATAAAGATATCAAAAAAAAAATTCACATAAAACTCACCTCATCATAATTAACATTAATTCTACGCCTTCACCTTCCAAGAATTTTTGTTTGATTTCAAGCTCTGATAATGATAAACATAATATATCAAAGAAATTTTCCATCATCTCAGTCTCATCAGCATCCCTGGGATCTTTACGTTTATATGTCTTTTTTTTAAATGTATATATATTCGTATATATTGTTAGATGAAATGATTATAAGCATAATTAAATACAATAATAACAATAATCGTACATTAAGTGCTCGAAGAAGTACATCAACACCTCCTAACTCTCCCATTTTTATTCTGTTAGCTAATTGACACATAAAATAAAACGAATCATTGAAATTATTTAATTAAAAAATTCTTCAATATCGTTCAATTTAGCAAATAATCACGAGGCGTTGAATCAACCCACAACGGCCGCGCTTTATGTACCTCGACTATTCTGTAATAATATAGCCAAGATTTCGCTAGCATACTGTTTATTGGAATCAAATCCTTTGACCTTGACTCTGGTAAGTAACCATTGCAGTAAATTAGTACCATTCACAATTTTTTCAGAATAGGTCGGATCCAATGAAGTGAGGTTTTCAACAACACCTAATAAATAATCAAAAATATATATTTTCAAATGCATTAGAACAAGAAAAAACGACTCAAAAATTATAAAGATTTTGAATAAATAAATAGCATAGGTACCAAGCGTATTGAAAACTCCTTGTTTTTCAGTTTGCTCATTTTCATCGAATCTAGCAAGATTTTGTACCAACAATTCTGGAACTTGATTTTCAACCTTTTAGATTTTTTTTTTTTTTTGTAAAAAAAAAAAAAAAGGAAAGATCGAAAAAGAAAATAAATAAAGTTACTAAAACATTATTATTTTAAGAATTAACCATCATCATACCTTCATCCAAAACTATACATTTAATATATATATTACCAATGCGTCGATAAAAACTTTCATAGACTCTTCATTATCTTCTGATACGATATCATCATCTGTTAATTCATTCAACAATTCCACTACGTCTATTACTATATCAGTATTTTCATGACTTAAAAGTGAGGCAAGTAGTGTTATTGTGCCTAATTTAACCACTTGAGGATAAAGTTCTGGTGATTCTGAAAGTCTCAATAAATTTTTGATCTCTTCGTGAAGATCAGTTTCTGAATCCAAAAATCTAAAAATCAAATTTTTTTAAAAATAAAATGTCATATAAAATATAATATTAAAAAAATATCAATTGTTCAAGAAAATTCCTTACTTTGTAGGATCATCAGCAAATTTAACCCGAAGTTCTTGATTTTTTGTAATCACCTTCTCAAATTTTATAATCATTTTACGAACATTAGATAAATTTAAATTTTCTGGCTTAGAATCGAATCAAATACATATATAAATGTTAATTAATCGATGGTATTCAAAAAAACGATATGAAAGACGAGTAGAAAATTTTTATTATCAATGTCAAGCCAACCTCGTTAACCTCAACTTGATCTACCATTTCTAAAATTTTTTTTTGTTCGTCAGTTAATCCACCACCAAAAAATCTTCCTCCCTCTTCCTCCTCTTCCAGATATGCATCCTCGTCTTCATCAATATAATATTCTCTTTCTTCTACTTCATCCAAAATTTGAACCATTTTTCCTTTACCTTTCGAAGATAATTTACCAGTATGTGCAAGATCTTCTTCTTCTTCTTGTCCAGTTTGATTTCTTACTGCTTTCAAGACTTCTATGTCAGGATTTGCAGTTAATTTTCTTTTGTTTTTTCCACTTGGAATGGAATTTGATGGAATTTTAAAAAGTTTATCAACATTCATCTTTTTTTATTGACCTTTTTAAAATTTTCAAAATGTATCGTATGTATTTGAAGATAAAAATTGTTATGTACAAATTTAGAAATTTGTGTCAATTTCTTTTGTGATACAATGTTATCTTCCCTTCTTAAAAAAAAAAAATTTAAACATTTTTGTTTTTATCTTACAAAGAACAAAAAAAGGATACAAATTTAATAAATTACTAAAATTTTATACTACCAATTTAAAATTTAAAAATAATTTATTTTTATTATATCTACAATCCATTATTATTTAATTTTTTTTTAAAAAAAACATGACTCGTTTTAGTTACAGTAGTTATCTTAGTTTACCTGGTTTATCTAATTTTAGAAGACATGCAAATAGACCATCACCAATGCCAACCTCTTCACCTGTATTTCGAGGATCACGTAGATACTATCCTCCTAGTAGAAATATGAAGTTGGTCAATAAACCCAAAAAAGATGAAAATTGTGTATTTTTTCAAAAATATGGTAAGTCAAAAGAGTCAAAAGATTACATTTTATACGTGTGTGTGTGTATATATGCTTGTATGTATGCAGCAAAATTTATTTTGGCACAAGGCAAGCTTTACGAATTTTACGAGGGAGTGTGTGTGTATGAGAAAAATCCACCATATCAACGATTGAAACACACAGATAAAACCAATTCGAATAACGACGACGACAACAACAATTTAAATTATTTAAAAAAAAAAAAAATGTATATTTTGAAACATGCCTTATTTTTAAATATTTTTTTTAAAAAATTTTTTTTTTGGCTTTGAATTTAGGTGAATGTAAACAAGGAGAACGATGCACTTATAAACACGATCCAGAAAAAGTTGGAGTTTGTAAACATTGGTTGTATGGAAATGGTTGTACAAGAGAAAGATGTAGACTACAACATCAAAGTAATCCCAAAGTGATTCCTCATTGTAACTATTTTGTAATTGGAAGATGCTTGAATAAGAAATGTAAATATACACATATCCATGTTAATTTTAGAGCAAAGATATGTAAACAATTTGCAAACGAAAGGTATTGTGAAAAGGGAGAGGAATGCATGTTCAGGCATAAATGGCTCCAACCTGGAGCAAAAGATACAATTGCAGATTCATCCGATGGTGAGTCAAAAGTTGTTAGTAAGCGTAAACGGAATGAAGTTGATGATGATGTAGATGTTTTTGCTGCTGGGTATAAGTATATACCTTTTAATATCAGTGAGGAAAAATTAAAAGAACATGAAGAAAGATGTGACAGATTGTTTGGGGATAAAACAAAAAGAAAGAAACTTAGATATTTCTCTGATATATAAGGTAGTAGGTAGTATTGAATGATGATAATATAAAAACCAATAATTTTGCGTTTTTAAATATTTCAATTTATTATCATTACTGCATTTTCCAAGTATGTAAAAAATTTATTCCTAGACAAACAAGTTTCAGCAATTAATGTACATAAAAATAATTTATAAAAAAAAAAAATCTTTATAAAAATATATTAAATAACATTTCAAAAAAAATTAATTTCTCAAAGAAACCGGGTATAATATTGAATTAATAAAAAAATGTCGTGCCCAAACAATTTATAAGCACAATTCCACGTATTTATAAAACATTTCGCCTTGTAAGAACAACAGCAGTTAGAACGATAAAAGGTTTTCAGAAAGATATAGTGGTGTTGAAGAAGGATTATTAAGAAGTGGGCGTCCTAAACTTCGAGTGTTGATCACAAATAATTCCATGAGCAACCAACAAAAAATTGTCTTAATTCGTGAAGAAGATGGATTAACAATGAATTGGCCGTTTAAGTTTGATGTGTCAATCTTTACTCTATCAACCAAAGTAATATTATTTTTATTTTCAATACTTGGTACGAATCGATCACTTTGATGCAATTAAAAAAACACTTGAAAAAAATAAATTATGCGTAACTTTCTCTTTAGATTAAAAAATAGTAGATTTGGAAGTTTTTTTTTTAATTTTTTTTTTTTTTGTAAATAAAAAATTTATACAAGGAATTAGAAAATTATCAAAATAACATATAAAAATATCAAGAAAATATAATATATATTATTTATATATTCATATTTATGTTTATATTTATAAAAAATATGTATAAGTTAAATATAAAAGAAAATATAACGTATGTTTATGAGTTAATGAGTGTGAGCGTGAGCGAGTGGTTGGATAGGTGGTTTGGTAGGTGGGTGAATAAATGGTTGGTTGAGGGTGGATGGAATGAAGTGTGTGTGATGTTTTGATGGTATGTATAAAAGGAATTGGTAGGAAAAAAGAGAGAAGTTGTTATTGGAGAAGTCAGGTAAAAGAAAGAGAATTGCTTTATATATATATAAATACAAAAATGTGAAGAAAAAAAAAATCTAATAAATATATTTTGAAAACCCTGCTTTATATCAATAATAAATTAGGGAAGAATGCAAATGTGTGTTATGAAGTTTTTATATGAAATGACGTGTAAATGCAATTGTATATATATCTAATAAATAAATGACATGTACACGAAATGTATATAATGTTATATATATATTCTATATATGTATATGAAAATTATGCTGTAAATGCTAATATAAAAATGCTAATGTGATTTATATAAAAATGCTAATTGTGATGAATAAAATGCAGGTTTTCAAAAAAATATATATATGTGTAAGAATGCATCAATATCTAAACAAAAGGAATTCATGATAACTTTATACAAATGTGAAAATTATATGGAAAAATGAAAATGCATGTATATATAACAAAAAAATGTGATAGGTTATAATGGATTGATTATGTGGATGTTTGTTTGTTTGGCTACCATAAATCCCGTTTTTAAATTGAAGATAAAAAATCATTTTTTTCTCCACGTTAATCTTTTTTTTTTGTTGTTGTTATTTTACACTATACGATTTAAATTGTCAAAACTATTAGTTCGATTTTCAGACCGACTGGATCTAAAAGCAACAGGTGGGACATCTTGAATGGCAAAGAGATTGCTGCCAGTTGGACGAGTACGTGATTGTGATTCACGTTGTGTGGAAGCACCATAACCACAAAATTCTAAGAAGCTAGTTAATTTTGAAGGGTTGCTTTCATTTGTGCTACGACGACGATTATTTGAATTGTGGTAAATATTGTCGAGTCTGGAATGAACTTCTACAGTTTTCACAAATCTCTTTTCACGCTTTTGTGCAATTTCTGGTGGTGTAGCATCTTTTTTACAAAGAGGACATAATGATGATTTTGTTGTGAGCCATTTATCTATTATTATTTAAAAATATTATTATTATTATTATTAGTGAAAATCAATTTAAATATAATGACGACGACGACGACGACGATGATGAAATACTTACCAACGCAGTCTACATGATACAAATGGGAGCAAGATGGTAATTGTCTTAATGTTTCACCTTCAGTAAAGTCTTCCAAACAAATAGGACATACATCATTGGAGGAACCGTCTTCTGTTAACAGTGATAATCTACGAACACTTCCAGGAGTTGATTCAGTTTTTGAGTCGCTCTTTTTGGTATGGAGGTCTTTTGAATAGGAAATTGTAGGGAATGATTTGACTACTGATGATTCTAATTTGAATGAATCTAATTTACTAGAAATATTTGATTCATGTTGAGCCATCATTGCATCACGTTCATAGCGACGAAGTTGATATAAGCGACAATGAATCAAAACTAAAAAAATTTTTTTTTGTTATTTTTAATTAATTATTTTTAAATAATTAATATATTATATATATAATGAATTATTATTTACCTGATATCAAAAATGAAATAGCAAGTAAAGAACCAATTACAATGATTGCGATTTGCCAACCACTGCCAAAACCGCCTTGTGACGATGCGTCGATTATAATACGAATCATTCTAAATCCTTTATCAGTTGCAGGTTCTTTTGCCAATGTCGTAACAGTACTGGATAAATTTTCTCCTGATTCACGGTCAACTTTATAGAATGGAATTTTAATTGTATCATCAATGACGATATCTGAAGATGTAGCAGCAGCATCATATACAATTGCTCCAATTGCACCAAATTTTTGTACATTAACAAATTGTTGTAGATCTGGACAGGCGGCACTGCGTTTGATAACTGCTATTGCTTGGTTGATTAATTTAGAAGGTATATTTGAAGGTATGATTGTTGTAAAGTCTGAGCATGGGTTATCAACAGTGAAAAGAATTCCTTTGGCGCTACTTTCTAGACTTGGTGTTTTATCAACTTTTTCAGCAGTAATTTCAACAGATTTACCTTTTTCTATATTACTGAGACCGGTTTGAGTGTCACTAACAAAAATTGTGTCCTGATGTAAATTTGCTTGAACATTATTAAAACAGAATAATATGAACAAAAGAAGAAGTGGAAAGGTTCTTTTAATAGTTGGCGTAATGCGAGTCATTTTATTATTATTTCACAAAAGCAAAAAAATTTGGTATATATGTTTATGTTAATGAAATGTGTTGAACTATACACGCCAGCGTGAAATATGATATGATTGTGTGTATAGTACAAAAAAAAAAAGATATAGGATGAAAATATTTATATATATATTTATAGGAAATTTTGTGAGGAGGATAAAATGATGGATGAATGAGAAAGAAAGGATGAAAGAAAGGGATGAAGGGACAAGGAAAAAAAAAAGAAAGAATGTTTTGTTTGGAAGTTTAAAAAAGTGAGACTAAAATTGTTTTTTAAAGCTTTTATTTATATTGTGCGTTAATAAACTCAAAAAGTCCTTAAATCTAAACTACCAAAAATTTACCCTGATTCTCCAATAACGTTTAAAATGAAAAAAAAGCACTTTTTTATGAAAGTTGAAAAAAGAAAGACAAAAAAATCGTGCCTCTTTATATATAATTTTATACAAAAATAACTTGTTAACTGGTTTTAGAAATATCGCAATTAGAAGATTGGAAAAAAAGAGCCTTGTTTACTAGATTGGAGTAGCATGTTTTATTATATATGTAAATTATTGAAAATCCCTCGCATTTTTTATAAATTAGAAATTGGTGAACCAAATAAAAATGCGTGCATTGTTACATTTTATAAATTTATATGTACTAATGATGGGGCGTTACACCATCACTCATATTTTTAAAGTGGTAAAAGGCTAAAAATTTGTCCACATTGGGATGAAAATTCCACATTAACCAATTAATAATGACTGAATGAAGAAGATCTAACACAACATTGTCGAACCAATTTATAAAATAAAAAGACGACTAAACCTATTATTTATGCAAGTTAAATTTTGTGTTATTGTATTAATATGTTGAAACAAACGGCCATCGTAAATCATAAAATTAAATAATCTTAATTTATGATATATTTTCTCCATCGAACAATACTAAAATCAATGCTAATTGATCGTTAATTAAATCATATTTTTTTACAAAGAACCTATCAAATTTTGTTTGTTCCTTTTTTCAAAACAGTCTTAGAATGTTGTTGTTACTGTTTTTTTTTTGTGATGATGTTAGTTCATCGACATTTCTGCAAGTTTTGATCTACACTTGTTGCTTCAATTAAAGCTTTGGTTGATCTGATAATTTATTAACGTAACAGTTAAAATTAATTACAAATTACCAAATTTAGAAGACAGGCTCAAAAAAATTTTTAAGCATTATGATACAAAAACAAATTTAGAAATTAATATCAATATTAATATTAAATAATTATCCGAAAATTACGATCGCTCCCTTTACTTACTATTCCTGTAAACCAAAGAAAGATCTACGTCTCTTTGTCCTTTGTACTTGCTTATAAACAAATACGCGGGAAAGATACTGTGATAAGCAGTAATATTAACATTATTAGTATGAATTCAACCATATGCATTAGTGTGAAAAGGAAATCAAGATTCAATACTGAAACAGTCAGTGTAGTGAGGCTCACAAGTACCAACTGTAAAAATAAAAAATATTCCATTTTTGAATAACTAATATATACATATATATATGTATCAGCCATCATAATCTCAATGTTTTCTTAATAACCATGACCTTTAACTTGAAGGCCTCGAACCAGAAAAAAATAAATGCAAGGAATATTATAGTAATAAAAAAAAGCACATTTATATTACAATATTGTTACGGATGCTATAATTCAGAAAAAAGTTTTATTGCTTTATGTATTTTAAATAACAAATAAAGCTATTAATATTTAATTAATACGTTCAAAAAATAACCATTATATTACTCTGTTTGCAATTTTGATAAAATCTATTTTTATTTATTTTAAACTTCAATACTAATAAACAGTAAAATAATTTTTATTTTATTTTTCCCGACTTAATTAAATACTAATAATACTATATAATAGTATTAGTGATTTATTTCGCGTAATTATTTATTCAAAACATATTCAACAAAATCATGATCTCATCATAATAAATAGTACTAAATGATTATATGTATGGATTTATTAATAACACTAATATTATATATGACTTTGTAATTTAATTAATTTAATTTTTTTTCGTTGATTTTATTTTTATAATAGAAAAAATTTCAAATGCTAAAAACTCCCAAAACACCCAAAAGTACAATTTTTTAAAGGAAATATATGATTAATATTAATCAAGTATTATTTATTGCAAATAAGATCGATAAAATCCAGGTCCGATTATTGATTATTGTATTGCGAGTTTGGCATATTCTTGCAATGCATGAATTAATTAATAAAAAATATTTAATAATTGTTGTAAAGGTGGAAAAGATTTTCAATACTTAGACTATCAATTTCAACGATAATGACGAGGAAAATAGTTTTATTATTATAGCAGCAAAGAAGTTGATGGTGAAGTTGATGGTGAGGAAAATGGAAAAGATAGCGGCAAGTGCTTCAGATTTAAAAAAATTCACGGTGAAAAAAATTTAAAAATGTGAATTGCCCAAGAACAAAGTAAAAATCTGTTATTTAGGAATAAAAAATTTCAAGTGCAAATATCCTGGATGCACTTAAAGCATTCTATCTAAATTTAATAGTGATATGATCTGATCTGTTTGGAGCCTTGATCACAACACACAAGATCTCGCCTTGGAATAAAATTGCTATCTAGTTCCTTAAAGATCATTGAAATGAAATAATAAAGCTTTGGAAGTATCAGATTTAATTAAATTTTCCTTTCAGATCCGGAATCAACGTCTAGACTCTGGGAGATTACCAAGAATCTCTTTAAAAGAGCCCAAATGCAACAAGAAAAATTTATGACCGCAAACATTTGGCGTGAACTGGGTTGTTTAATAAAAGGTCTGCATGAGTCTGCTAGGCCTGATAAGCTTGCTTGCCAGCTCACTAGTTACTCACGTGAGAAACTTAAATTTTAATCTCTCATTAACCCGAAGGAAAGATTAAATTTTATATTCACCAAAAATCTGAAATTTCTTGGTTATACAATCATAATAATAATAATAATAATAAAGATAAATTTGGATCTTTAAATGGTCCCATGGATGACGAAGGAGGAAATCCTCGGTTGAATTTTGCTAAAGATTGATCAATGAATGAATTCAAATTAATTAAGTGAATAAATTATATTAACGCTTTTAGTCTTTTTAAAAGTAGAATAAATTCGCGAGTTCTATGATTCATAATTTGTTTAACTTGTCAAAATAATAAATGAAAAAGCAATAAAGCAATTATTTTTTTTTGGAGGTGATTTTACAAATTGTACATAATTTTTTATTTGTTTTTATTTGGTAATTTGATCTATGTTAAAAAATGAGCTGGTCTTGGGACCGGTCTTTTAAAGACCTAGTTAATATTATTATACATTTTATTCTTAAGAAATAAATTAAAAAAAAAGATCAAAAGATAAATCAATATAATGAATAGATTTATAGTGAATATTAAATTAATCAATCATCAATTGATAATTCATCAACCTTATCAATTTTCTCAATACCTTTTCCTTTACTATTATTATTAGAATCTAATGTTTATTGATTAATATTAAATCGGAATAAAAAATATTGTTAGTAATAATAATTTCTCAATTAATAATGAATTTTTATTCGCCTTTGTTAAAATCAACTTTAGAGTTAAAATCAAGATCATTTAATGAATTATCATTACTTGTTAAACTTTTGGATTTAGCAATCTCTTCATCCAATATTCTACTTGTGTGGCATGCATCTGGATGTGATTTGTGTGATTGTTGCAAAGCACTATCACCACTAATAGTAGCATTATTATTATTATTAATTCTCCCATGTTTATTTTCAGCAAATACCAGAAACTCTCTAATGGTTGGTCTTTTAGATGGACTCACATCCCAACGCCTTTGCATCATTTGTACACAACCATAAGGCATTTTAGTAATATTGGTGGTCGCAAACCTTCTGCACATATATCAAAAATTAAATGATGATGATTATGAGCTCTATTGTTAAATGGTGGATGACCTGCAAATATTTCCCATATTAACATCCCAACACTATAAATATCAGATTCTTTTGTGTTCTTTTTGCCTCTAAGTTACTTGGGTGCAACATATGATACAATTCTATAGACTTTATTTGAAAACTTTTCATCAACTGGTCCACATAATCCTAAATCTGTAATATAACAATAACTTCTTTGCATAAGTATATTACCACCATGTAAATCACAATGAATTAAATATTTTTCATGTATATGACATAATGCATTTAAAGGTAGTAATTCTGTCTTTTAATGCAAATTACTCCTTAAATTTTTTTCTAGATAATAATTTAAACTATTGCATAATTTCCATTATCTGGAAATTTAGTCATACAATAGCATTGAACAATAGTGGTTTTTAATTTTACAATAATTCACTGCCTGAAAATAAATATAAAATCAATTAGTATTATGCAATAAGTATCATTTATTTTTGTTTTTAATGATAACTACTAACCTCATCAAAAAACCTTTTCCTGGATTATTTGAATCATTTAAACTTTTTAATACTACCTTTTGCTTTTCATAATAATTAAATTCTTTTTTAATTTCATCATAATCATCAATGCTTTCTCTTATCCATCTAGCAGCATAAATTGAACTAAATCCACCTTATGCCAACTTTTTTATATCTTCAAATTGCTCAAAAGGTATCAATTTCTAAAATATGGTTTGGCAGAGATGATTTCATTTGACATTGTTGAATAAAGTCATCAATTATATTATTCCCAGATGTCCAAGACCAATACTCTTTTTCATTTCCAGAAAGCTCCTTATTTTTTTTTGACCAATGAAAAAATTTTTTTTCTACTTTCTTTATCAAAATTAACTACTGCATTATTTCTTGTTTCATTGTCAGTTTTAAATACAAATCCCTTTCTTTCTGGTGGTATTGATAATAATAAATCAATATATGACATTATATAAAATAAAATGTTTTTATAAAATTGAAAATTTGACTTGGTTGATTTAATGATTTTTTTGTTTTGGGGGATAACACTAACTCTTTATTCATAATTTCTTTTTGGGGAGGATTTATTGATGATAACTCAGATTTTTATTGTTATTAAATAAATAGTTTATTTGATTACCTTTAAAATTCTCATTGATAAAGAATTTAATAGAATTGAAAATAAAACTTACATTATTTAAAGAATAACTTCATCTAGTGATTCAAAATTAAAACTCACAAAACCTATACCTAAACCTGTCTTATGTAAAGATTCTACATACCAATATTGACCAGCCTATGTGTATTCCAAACTCAGTCACTAACAGTTTTATTCTGTTATGTATTTATTATTATGCATAGTTAACTTAAGTCAAAATCAAGAAAAATCATCATGTACATGTGTTTCAAATTCAGACATTAAAGTCAGAGTCACTAATTACTTTTTTATCAGATGAAAGCATATTGCTTGTTGAAAAATCACTCTGGCCTTAATTGTAGTCATGATGACCTGCCTAGAGGAGAATCTTGTTGTTGAGATTATTATTGTTATTACTGATTTTGTTATTACTGTTGTTAAAGTTCTTATTGAAATCAATAATGCTGAAATTATTGCCATTCTTATGATTATTTTTGTTCCTATTGTAGGACTTAATTAATCACTATAGAATTTATTTCTATAAGTATTATCACCATTATTATTACCACTATTATTATTGCCAATGCCATTATTAGTGTTAGTGTTATTGTTAGAGTCAAAGTTTTGTCTTTATTGTTAAACAATGCATATCATTATTTCTGGTGCTAATTACTTTTTGGTTTGGATAGTGGTGGTTCTTCAATCACCCTTCTATTGGGGCTGGTCTTGTGTTGTTAGCTCTCCTACAAGTGTGTATGCTAAGCCCAATTGTTTTACACAGCTCATACCCACGTATAAAACATTGATGTTGTTGTTGTTAATGGTATTCTCACCTCCTTGTGTGTTACTACCAGAATTAATGTTAAATGAATTTATTGATCAGGATAGTGAAGAAAACCTATATATTACTATATAGGGCATAATGCAACAAAACCAGAAAGTGAACATCGGTATTGCCAAAAATTTCAGGGATCACAATCATCACAATTAGTTTTATAATAATAATGTCCATTTGTTAAGTGATATATAGAACTGCCCCTATTACTATATAAGAACAATTAATATGAAGCTAGTCCTACCATGGAACCTAAGAATTATAGTACTATTAGAAGTATTTTGAAAAAATTACTCCTTATATTTTCAAAATAAATGATAAACACTTGAATTTTTATCCAAGAAAAAAGGGATTAAATATGATAATTAATATTATTAATTCATTCTGTTTTTTTTTGTTTCTTCACAAATAAGCAATTATTCCCATAAACAAGACTGTTGTTGTTCCTGCTAAAAAAATTCAAAAAAAATATTACTATTGGCTGTTTATTAGTAAATAAGACTTCATTATCAATCAGTAATTAATGTTTGGTCAGGTGATTTTTCACTGCTTTTAAATTATTATATTATAGTTTTTTAAAAAAAAATTCTGTCAATAATATTTGTGTATCAATCATACATGTTTTGGTTAAATCGCAATATTTGGAGATGTTGTGGATGAATTATATTATCAATATCAGCATTATTAGTTATTAAAATAGATATATAGCCTTGCCTAATTCATTGTCAAGTATATAGATTTTTTTTACTTTTTTATTTATTGTCAGAAACTAATTAAAGATGCATTATTTATTTTTCAATTATTTTTTTTTCTTCTGCTTCCTTTATCCTATAAGTGGTTATTTAACCAACCATTTCTTTTGCAAATGGTGGTGTATAGATGCTGTCTGTAAATGACTTTAAGTGTTCTGTAATATGACAACTCTTATTCTGTAAAAATTGTAAATATTTACAGACAGCATCATTATGGTGGTGTATTTTGATCATCATCATTGATAAGTTACCAAATATTACATTCATTATATGGTTGGCTTGGTCTAAAGACCCCCTATTGCTGCGCCATGCGACCAAATTTCAAAATAGCAATTTTGTGATTCGTTCAAAAATGTAATAAAATTTTTCAAAAAATAGGACTTTGCATGATCTTAGTTTTCTTACTGCCAAATTTAGATACGATAGTCAATAGCTAGTCTAAATTTGGTAATATTTTTCCTAAATTTAGAAATGATTATAGTGGACAAATTCCTCGCGAGCATAGTAAAGTGCATGTTTTAAAAAAGAATAGAACTCTACAACAAATATTTTTTTTGAGAAAATCTCTCTATTACATTAAAACTAAAGTCATATTCTATCAACTAATAGAGCTATTTTTTTAAATGGTAGGACAGAAAGTGACTTCTATACTTTTAAAATTTGCCCAAAATTTAGGAGGTCTTTAGACCAAGCCAACTATATTACAATTTTGAAATATTATTGACTACAAAATTATAAAAAATTGATCAAGTATTCAAACAGTAACATATATATACATATACATACTCACCCTTAACTGAATTAGTAACAATTAAGGTTGTGGGCGAAACCTTCTCAGCAATTGCTGAAAACTATATTAAATCTTATCAAAAATCCTGTTGAAACTATGCCAAAATGGCGAAACCTCAAAATGTGAAACTCTGCTGAAACTCTAATAAACAATTAATGTGTAACCTACTGAAACCCTGCTGATTGATTTCTGGAGGAGTTTTGGCAAGCAACCTTAGTACAATAGTGAATTAGCTAAATTTCTTATGCTTGGATTGTTTCTGGAAATTTAAAAGACATAATTTCATGATATAAATAAAGTTCTGGAAATTTTAAATACATTACATCCAAGCCTAAAATTATACAATGATAAATGACTATTTTGATCACTTTTATTGATATAACCTTTAATTTAATTACCTGAAGTTTGTATACCAAAAGATTTTAACTTATCAATATCATCAACTTTTTCTTTGATAGTTGGATGTCAATTTTTTTTGCCTTTTCAACCACAACTGTCTCTTTGTTTGTTTTTTTATTGATTAATTTTGAATTAATGATAAATGAGTTTTATAATCATCTGTACCATTCCTTCTTTCACCATTAGCAGTATGTGATCCAGGGTTGGCAAATGTGTAGTCCATTGGTGATCTATTGGCGATCCATTGGGTCAATTGGTGTAATGTTTTAGCTATATTTAGTGTTTTATTAATGGCAATGAATCATCAGTTCTCAATGGACTAGTCAGTTTGCCAACCCTGCAAAGTGATCAATAGCAAATACAAAAGATTAAGTTGTGTAACAGTTTGAATGTTTTTAAATATATGAATGATGCTTACTGTCCAGTAATATAATTGGAAATTTTGTGATGCAAACAAATTTAAAAGGATAGCAAAATGTTTTTTGTGATCTCTGATTAGCTGTGGTTATTTCTATTTTTAATTTTATATTTTGTTTTGTGTTCACATCTCTTTTTCTTTCCCATTTTTTTATTAAACAATAAGACTAATTAATGTTTTGTCACTACTTACTTATAATACATTGTTTTGCTTTCAATGGACTTTTTTATGTTAAAAGGAAAACTGTCATTTTATGAGGTTGTCTAGTTGGAAAGTATAGTTTTTTTTTAATGTCTTTTATTTATTTATTATTGCTATTGTTATTAAATTTATTAAACAATCAATATTTATATTAAGGTAAATGAATATGTGGATTTTTTTTTATAAAAAAAATCTACTTGCTTGCAATCAACAAAAAATACTGCTACAATACTTAATCATAAGTGAGTAATGAAATTATCAAATTGAGAAGTTAAATCCAGTTACAATGATGATTAACATCATGAGCAGTACAAATATTATTATAAAACTTTTAAATTCCCTACACAAAGTTTAGATACTTAATTCATGATTCTTTTAAGAATGAGTGAATTTTAATTAGTGATTGGCAGGGTGCATTTACAACATTTTATATATAGTAAAAATCATCCAGTTCACCTTACTTTTCTATCATAACATCATGTTTCCATTTGCATTTTTGTAAAACAAACATTTGGATATCAATAAACAGATTGTTACGAATATTTTTATCAAAAAAAATTTTTTTTGTCCAAGCTGTTTTTGCACTATTTCAATCTTGATTGGGGATTATGGTTATAAAAACCAACTTTTTTATGCATAATAAAATGACATAAAACTAAAAATTATATTTATTGGTTTGTATGTTTATAACATAATGTCCAATTCTTTCTCAGCTGATTCTTTTTTATGTTCTCTACTAAAATGCATTATCCAATTTTCTATAGTTTTTATTTTCGGTAACTCATTTGAATCCAACGCACCTGCTTCTACTCTTAGTTTTAGATCTGCAGGCATTGTTTATATACATTTCCTGACAAAAAATAGGCTCTTAGAAGTTGTTTTACCTGTTCAGACATGTGTTTACTTCCACCACGCTTTCCAAAATTTTGGTTTTCACAAAGAGCCCAACCCAGTTCAAAGTAATTCCTTCTAGAGAATTTAAAATTTGGTAATTTAATATTTATTATTATATTAATTTTTTTCCTATTTATAGTTCACTTAGGAAAAAATGTCTGTTATAAACAATAATAATTTATATATGGATGACATAAATTGGACTTAAATTCTCAGTCTGTTACAGAACAAGACCCATTACAGAAAAGTCCATTATTATTATCATAGAGTACCTGTATTCATTCTTTTTGACTGCTTCATCTTCATTCCCAGGTATCATTATATGGTGTTTTTTTTTATTTGGACATTTCAATTGATATGGATGGTGCATTGTTCAACATTGCACCTTGAGAATGAATTCCTACACAAATTTTCATAGGGGAATAAGCTCAGATAAGAAAATGTTTATTTAGATTTATATAATATACCTTTGATTTTGTTTAGAGTTTCTTCTCCAATTTGCTTTCATAGTTTTTCTACTAATTCATTTTTACTTTCCTTCTCTTCATACTCAATTTTTCTTTTTTTCAATTCAGCTTTTACAACATCTTTGGATAATCTATTTGGATCTTTCTCTGAAAAAAAAATGAATTGTGGAAAAGAAAAAATTATAAAGATAATAAGATAATAATAAACAATAAATTTCAACAAAAAAAATTTATTAATAGAATTGGTATTAGTAGCAATAATAAAATAAATATATAATATAATAATAGTGGTGGTGATTATAAATAAAATAATTTAATTCATTTCATTAATAATTTGTCTTTTAAATTAAAATAACTTTATCCTACCTTTACTAGGCAATGGAATAGTCCATTCTGAGTTTGGTGTTGACTTTTGACTGAAGTTGATGGATTTGGTCTTATTAATTCTTGGTCTTTTAGAGATTTCTTAATATCAAATGGTGAAAAGGTATTCCATGTACCAAAATTGGGTAAAGAATGTGCACAAATATAACCAGATAAGTCACCATCAGTGTTGTGACCAGAAACTCTTTTGGCTTCCCGAAACGTTTCGGAAAATGAACTTACACTAAGCAGAAAACTAAACCTAAACCCAAACCTAAGCATAAACTACTAACCTAAACTAGTTTCTGTTAGTTTCTGTTAGTTTCTGTTTCGGGTCTTCCCTAAACTCAGAGTTTCGGGTCACAACACTGGTCACCATCTGTAGGCCAAGTGAAATATGACCAATTTGTAATACCCTCTAGAATGGATAATGGTTTGTTTGCTTTTTTTGGTCTTTTGCTAGGGTTAAGGTTTGCAATAGATGTTCCTTGAAGTCCTTTTGCTGCATTTACTATATCTTCCCCACTCTGGATATCATACCCAATACATACATATCATTTTATTGCATGCTTTAACTAAAATTATCAAATTTATTTATTACTCTATCATCAGGAAAATGGGTACAAATATTATGCGTATATAATACACAATTGCAGGGATTAAGCATATAATATATGTACAATTTGCATACATAAAAAAATATGCATATTATATGCTTAATCCCTGCAATTGTGTATTATATACGCATAATATTTGTACCCATTTTCCTGATGATATATAGGTAAAAAATTTTTTAATAAAATAAACATACCTGTGCATGGTGGGAATCAACAGTAGTCTTTGCTTCACCAGGTTCCAAAAAAATCCACAATCTTATTTTTATATTATACCATTTACTCCATCAACTAATCATCATCATCAACTCTTTATTATGATAATGTGCACCATTATCAGACAATACTTCAATCCATAAAGGGTTTTTTTCCATTGTAGAAAATAAACCATCAAAGGGTGATGCTGTGAACCAAGCATCTTGTGTTGGGTCAGATGACCAATGATTTAAAACTTCAAGATTCAACAAAGTAGAATCATCAGATTTTCTTGTATATACTAGTAAGGTATGCAAAGTATATCCTTTTTTCAAAAAAAATCAGAATTCACCTCTCGTGCTGATTGAGGCAAAATCTTCATTTTGTAGTCAACTATGATCACAGCACCATCCTTATCTAGATGAAGCAATGTGGCTTTAGATTGTGCATTGAGATATGTTTTCCTGGCTTGGTGAGCCCAGAAATATTGTAATTTTTCCCAGAGTTCAATTGTTTGGCTTTTTTCATTTGGAGTAAATTGTAGAATCTTTTGGAAAATAAGATCTATTTGACTACAATTTTCACAACTAATAGGATGATGTTCATTGCAATCACCAAATGCAAAGTTTAAACAATGTTCAATACAATTATCATGCTGCACATTACCAAGGTCATCTATAATCAATTCATTTCCATATTCTCGATTCAAATGACATTGTGTTTTTTCAAGTTGAGTTATCAATTCATTCTAGTAATGAATAATCAAATTAAAAAATATTTCTTTAAAATCATTTGAGCATCAATTCACTAACCTGAATATCTTTTCTATTAATTTTTTCTTGAACAAGTGGTTTCATCTCTTCAAAAACACCAAATCCATATTCATTACATGTCAAACACAAGCCACCAAGATCTTCATGATATACAAATCAGCTATCTTCTAATATTGTCATTTACTTTATATGAACTTGGCATTGTATTATTATTATCAAGTAAAAATGTCATAAATTGATCCAGTGATTCTTTTGACAGTTTTACTTTAGTGATTGCAGGTTTGCTTAATGCAAGGCAACCAGGACCATTAGTTTTAGCATACAATCTGGCACTGGTCACACTGTTTGCCGAAAGCTTCATAAAACATAAGTATTTTTTTTAATTATTATTAAAAGTAAATAATATAAATACAATTTCAAAAATTTTAATGATGTGACAATTTACTTACAAAAAGCTTTTCTTGCAATTCAGTGTAGGTAAATTTGTTGGCAATTATTGACAGCACATGAATACAACCATCTTGCCCCTTTTTATTTTCATTTAGTGCTTCTCCAAAACATTCCCAAAATTTTTTGCTTATATACTCTTCATCTATTGGAGTTTTTTATGTATTGGTGTTGGTGACAGAAACCCCTGAGAATACAACTGAGAAAGTGTTTGTTGATCTTGTAGTGTATTTAGTGAACAACTCCAAAATTGATACTATATTTTTTTTTTTTCAAATTTATTAATTTAAATAAAAATTGAATTTAAATTTATCTTCATCAAATTACCTTAGATTCATCATATGATTTTAACTCAAAATTTACATATTAGTCATTATTATGAATTGAGGTAAATAATCTCTTTTAATAATTATATCCTCTCCTAGATGAATTGAAATAAATAATAATTACATTCTCATACATTCTTTCCTATATGAATTGAAACAAATAATACCTTTTAATAAGCAAATAATTATTTTATGATATAGTTGTACATTTTTTTCCTATAAAATCTATTACTTACTTTCATAAACAATATGTTGTAAACTTGGTTCTTCTAATTTCTTTTTTTTTTTTGCTGGATTCAATCTACATAAAATTCTTGACATAAATATTAAAAATCTTTTTTGTGAATCTCACTAAAACTTATTAACCAAAAAGTAATGACCATATAAAAGTTTAGTATTTTACACCTTATAAGCCACTATCAAATCATTTAAAGCAACATTGAAAAATAATCTTAGCTTTGAAGCAAAAAATATGCCATTTTTGAATAACCATGGATTTATATAGAGAGGGTATTTCAATATGAAAGGTATTGTTACCAGGATCAGATGATGACGACGATAATTTGGCCAAATCCTTTTATTTATCAATAACGTGTATAATCATCTAATTCGTTTTACGTTCGCGTATTATTATTATTATTAATCAATCTGTAGCACGTTCATATTTATTTAACTTTATTTACAGTGCAGGACACCTAATCCCGCAACTTACTGCGCCACGACGACGAATTTTGGGAAAAAATTTCCAATCAAAAAT